TTCGCTTGGTTTGTCAAACCGCTTGTGTGGTGTATTTCGCTCTTTAGTTAAATGCACTGATTTACAGAGATTGCACTGGCTTGGAAATGTCGTGCGCATGAATAATGACACTCCGGTAGAAAGATCCCGATTCGGCACACGATGGTGGGCAACGAAAGAAAAGACGCCACGAATACGATTGAAGCAGCAAGTACAGAAGAAGCTGTCCGAACTCGGAATGAACAATTGGTGCAACAACGCAAAGGATAAGAGAGATCGCGAAGTTTTTTGGTCTCATCCCCAAACCGAATTGGTTGTAAGTGCCAAATAAGAAGAATGTGTGTATGTAAATAAAATAAACTTTTCTACGGTAAACATTTTGGGCTTTGAATACCACGACACTAAAATAGCTTCTACTGCGTTAGAGAAAGCGTGTACAATCCTTCTTTTATGATGGCGCCGATTCTACAACCTCGAAGCAAAAGGCCACCAAATTTTTGTATTTTGAATGTGCTGTTTCAATAAAAAAAGTTCCGCTGAATTCGAAGATAAATATATAATTTTTGAGAAATAAGCTAATTTCGGTTTTTTTTTGCGTTTTGAAAAGTGTATACCAGTTTATTATTATTAAATAAATTAAATTATTAAATTTACCATCATCTGTGTCAAAGACATTTTCCAACCAGATTATCATAGCCAGTTTCACGAAAGAAATTTAAGTGAAACATGATATTTTTATTTGAATTTATAATGGAAACTGACAGAATTTTTTATTTTTTTCACTTAAATTGCTTTCGTGAAACTGGAAGTAAGTTCATTAATTTATTGCCAATTTCGCATATTTTTTTTAGACACTTCCAAAAAAATTTACTTTTTGTATAAACATCAACACGGAAAATATTGTTTACTTCTGGTTTCTTTCTTGAACGTCAAAATATAATCTTTTACAAATATAATAATATCCTGCTTATCTAAATAGAATAATAAATATAGAAATTATGAGCGCTCAAATAAAAATACATACAAAAAGTTTCCAGAAATTTGAGATGGAGCAACTACAATCGATAGCTGAGTGGAATATATCGACCTATCTCGGCAGCCAGTTCGAAAACGCCCTATCTCAGAAAACTTTTCAAGAACGCCCTACTTCAGAATTTGATTGAAGAACACCCTATTTTAGAATTTTATTAAAAAACACTCTATCTCAGAATTTGGTTGAGGAACGCCCTATCTCATACGAAAATACATTGAAAATGGGCTAAGATAAGGCGTTTTGGAATCGGCAGCTGAGAAAGGGCGTTTTTGAACCGAATTCTGAGATAGCGCGTTTTTCAAACAAATTCTAAAATAGGGCGTTCTTCAACCAAATTCTGAAATAGGGCGTTTTCGAACTGCCTGCCGAGATAGATCGATCTTCCACTCAGCCATCGATATGTACATATACAGGGTGTCTAAGAAGTACTCTACTAAACTTGAGGAGAAGTTAGGTGGGGTGGAGAGCTCGCTGATAAGCAATAATTTTACAGGTAAAAGTGTCACCTTTTTTAAGTGTCATAAAATAATGTCAGGAGCAGGTAATAACGTACATTTGTACTTTGGAAGTATTTTACAAAAAAAAATTTACTAAGTATAGCCTTGTTTGTACATGCAGTTAGAGGAAATACATGAATAGGCCCGATTTTTTCTAATTCAAAAAATATCAATATTTCAAAAAACGGTAACACTTTTACCTAAAAAATTTGGTGCTTATCAGGGAGCTCATCCCCTACCTACCTTCTCCCCAAGTTTGGTAGGGTAAACCGACATCTGCATTAATCTCAATTTTACATTACCGTTTAAATATATAAATTTAAACTTTTGTTAGTTATTATACATATGTATATTGTTTATATGTAACATAGAATATAAACAACCACAAACCTTAAAATATAGAAATTGGCGTCTTAGACCATTTCGGAAACAATATGAAATTATATTAAATTTATATTTTTTGTCTTAAACAGATACACCGCGCAATTTGTATTTTTTGCACACGTTGACCTGGCTTTTGAATATGTTTGGCATTTTTTTCATACTCGCCGCACACGAGCACTACTCAATAGATGTATTTGTCGCATTTTACATAACATCGCGCCTCTTTCTGTATTATCACACGCTAGCCAATAATCAGGTAAATTTTCAGCAATGATAAAAAATGTGCATTAAAAGAAATACATCTTTTTTGTTAATATATTTACAGGCTCTTATGTCGCATGATTCAAACCGTACCCGCATCTGGTTTCCAATGTTTAGCTATTTTGAGAGCTCTATAGATGGCATCGTACCCAATGAATTTGACAGCATCGGAGCTCTGATTGATGGTATGCTCCAGTTTGTTTTAAATGTCAAAGACACTTGTATGCTAACAGCGCGTCGCATTTGGATTGATACCCCACATTTATATCTAAGCAGTGGAAACCGACCGTTTAAATCGGATTCATCGGAGCCGCTTAAAGCGATGAATAAGCAGCTGGCTGGCAGCGTTTGTAACATTCAACCTGCGAATTCAACACAAGCTTCCCCCGACGTAAGTAAAAAGGGAACATTAAAGTCTTCAGAATCGCCTTCAGAAAGTGCCACGACAAAGTCATCGGCACCAAATAACTGTACAAAATTGGATAAAAAGCAGCTGTAGTTAAAATGCACACAGTCTTAGGCACACAATTGGCATTTATGATATCGTAAATCTAAATAAAACCAATATTTTTATTATGTAAGATATTTTTATATTTAAGTGTTTCAATCATTACATTCCCCCATGTACATAGTATGTATGTATACATATTTAGCTAGTAAAATATCAAACATACACGTGCATATATGGAATCCATGCAGTACTCGTAAATAAATATTCTAGTGAATTAACAGATGAGGCATTGACTGATTTGCTAGTTATCGAATTATATTTGGAACGAATGCGTAGGTTCGAGACCGATGGAGGTAATGATTTAGAGTTTATGTCAAATGTAAGTTATTAAGTTATTAAATTCAATTAAAAATTTGAAAAGCGAAAGCGAGCTTCTCCTTCAATTTGTGGTGTGAACCTTAATGTTGTTACACACTCGGAGGTTTGCTATCGCCTGTCGAGGGGTGACCGCTATTAGAATAAACATTTTTTTTTACGGTGGTTGACTACGAATCGAACCTCGGTCCTGCCTCGTTGGAATATGCACCTCTAATCTGCTACAACAGCGTTCGCGAAATTGTGCTGATTATAAGGCTGAAAATTGATATTCATTAGGACAATCCAATTTTTTTTTCAATATTTGTGGTTTTTATTGGATAAAAATAACTACGTACATAGCAGATGCATTCGATGTGCTAGTTCAGGCCAGCAGAGATGTCAATCAACGTTGCTGACAAGTGTAACAGTGGTGTCTATTTTAATTTTTAAGCTCATCTCGCGTATTGCTCTAGCATTCGTATGGAAATATAAAAATATCGCATGCGTACACTTGGAGACGAAAATAAAAAAATTAAATAAGTTCGATTCCTGGTCCAATTTATTTATTTTTTTCCTAATGGTGGTCACCTCAACAAACATTGACAAAATTTCGAGCGTATTTCTGCAATAAAATGTCTCTTTAATAAGCTATCTGTCGTTCGGAGGCGGCGTAATATTGTAGTTCCCTTAATTTATGTGACAAAATTAAGGTGGGCAGTACAAATTGGTGGAAAAAGCTTGACCATGTACTTAGCAAAATGTGTGAAGCGGAATTTTTTCTGAACTTGCTATCCATTTTATTACCATTGAATATCTGTTTGCCTTAAATTTATGTATTGAACAGAAAAACGTTGCGGGTATTCACATCTTCTTGGGTATTAGGATAAATGCTCTCTAGAGTATTTTGTTGGTGACCAGGCAAATGAGAATACCTACAATACAAATGAAGATTTTACTGGTTGGTTGGACTTCTTCTCATTTGTAGTACATTCTTCTTTCTTCTTCTTCTTTTTTGGCGCTGTAACCGCCTAAGCGATTTTGGCCGAGTTCAGCAAAGCACGCCAGTCGTTTCTCCTCTGTGCCAACTGACGCCAATTGGAAACGCCAAGTGAAGCCAAGTGCTTCTCCACCTGATCTTTCCATCGCAGTGGGGGCCTCCCTCTTCCTCTGCTACCACCAGCGGGTTCCGAGTTGAATACTTTCAGAGCTGGAGCGTCGGTGTCCATTCGAACGACATGACCAAGCCAGCGGAGCCGCTGTATTTTAATTCGCTGCACTATGTCCATTAGCTTTTGACATTTAGCAGGGACGTGAAACGGGTTTGAACTAGAGATGGGCAATACAAGTGATTTCCTCCGTGCCACTTGGTGTCAAGCTTTTTCACGCGTGGTCATGAACGGTTATGAGAGAAATTCACGTAACTTACGTGATCGTGAGTAACTGGCGTGAACGTGCGTGAGTTAAATTTCCCGTCAATCACGTAATTTTCACATAATCATGTATATTTTTAACCAAGATCAAGGAGGAAACTTACTGTTTAACTTTCAACTAAAGATTTGAGGACAACGTTTACGCATTTTCCTTTCACATTTAGGGCATTCTGAAATATTCATAAATTTTGAGCATATCTGTAAGTTGGGCCGCCTACAATTGGGTGCCAAGTTTAAACAAATTGCGTGGCTTAAACCTTATGGGAGAAAAGCAATATAAAGTATGCAAAAAGCAAATACAGTGGTCGTTCAATATACCGAACTGTCGGAATGGCGAATTTTCGGTTTAACGAATCATCAAAATTATCTCATTGATATCTCTATATGTATAGAAGAAGAGGAATGAATTTTAGTTTTCGATATATGTAACAAACGCTGCTGTTGCTTTTGTTTTAAAGTTCTCGTTCTTTGCCAAAAGAGTGTTCGTTAGCCAACGGTAGGTAAATTGTTGTCTGCATAAAATAGTTTGCTTTAACATAAAGTTGCAGGTGACTTCGAATTAATTGACCGTTATATCTATTGGACGACCACTGTATTGCGATGGAGATTGTACCGGGTGACTTTCGCAAAGCAATTGCTTACTCATAGCATTGATTAATCAACCCTATTCTGCATTCCGACTCGAATCGATATTTTATCCGTTTGGCAACTTTGGTATTCTGCGTTCCGTTTCGTTTCGATCAATCTTCGAAATTTACGATTATACCTATTCTGTTATTTTCGTCGGTTTAAATATCAAAATTTTGCATGATTGTAAAAGTCATCATAAATGAATTTTCTCGATTTCTGTGTTTTCGCGAGCAGCAATACGGGCAATTCGAAAAATTGACTCAAATAATGGCAACCAAAAGGGATATTGCGCGAGGATTTCAAAGAGGAAGTCCAGGCGTGCTATTGGCAGATCTACTAACTTTTTAGCTATATAATCATTTCTACCATTTTTACCGGTAGTTAGTTCGTTTTTTTTCAAATCAATTTGAATAGGGGAAAACAGCTCTCATTTAATTTCATTCGAGTCGAATCTAGTTTCATTCAATAACGGATGCCGTGATTTGGGTGCAGTTTTATGTATGGGCTTTTTGTTTGAGATTTTATTCACGTGAAATACATTTTTGTTAGTTTATTTAAAGCTACAATTTATCCCAAGGCGAATTCATATAAGGTGATAGCAGGAGTACAAAAACACTTGCACTTTTGCCAAACGACTACCCCAAGATGCTATGGTCTCTGCTGCAACTGCAAGCAGTTCAGGCATCTATCCTGGATGTGGTGAGACAACAGCGAAAGGGACTAACCCAAATTCAGCTGCTGCACTTTCCGCCCGGGATGGATGACTGTTGGCTGTGAAGACTCGCCGACAGAGGGGTGGCTGCGAAAGGGGGCTCCCACTTTATGGCTGTGGAAGGGCGGAAATACGGATTGCTGATCCAACCGAAGTGTCCAAACCAACGGTATATGTGGGTTACCTTCTGGAACCAGCTCCCACCTCCGTTGACAGGATCCTTACCCTTGTCGAGGGTCAGAACTCTGACTTGCGGATAGGTAACTGGACGGCGCTCAACTGGGTCCAGAGAGACCCCACCACTGAGCTAACTCTAGCTGTCGACCCCTTTTCTGTTGAGACTCTGGACACGCAAGGGTCGCAGATCAGCTATGGCTACGGAAAGGTGTGCATCCACAGGTCAGGACCTGCGGTATCCTCCTCCACTGCCAATGCCGAAGGTGCAGCGGTTAGAAAGATGCTGCCAAATCGGAGAAGTCAGGAGACCTGTGGAGGCACAAGCGTCACCTAAGCATCTGGCAGATAAGCCTAAAGAGTGGCAAGACTACTCAAAAGTTGGCACACCCACCTGGCTCACTAGGGAAGGGACAGGGGATCAATCATCAACCAAGAAAGGAGAGAACACTGTGTAGCAAAGGGGGGGAAAAGGGTAATGGCAAGATTCCTAAATAAACCCCGGCGGATCAAGTGCTTACCAGCGAACCTGCATCACGCCAAAGCGGCCTCGGATGTTTGGGCCGGTTTGACACATGACACCATTGCGATAAGAAATAATGCACCTTTTATTCCCATTTCAGAGTTGATGCAACAGGACATAGTGGCCGTATGGACTAAAGTACCAACTCAAAAATGGAGTACAGCAGGTTGTACTTACTTCCGGGAGACAGCTGCGAAATGCCCACAAGGGAAGTATTAGCCCTAGAGGAGTACTGCAGGCAAAGACGGCTGAAACTAGTGATGGGCTTTGATGCCAACGCCCATCATCAAGTGTGGGGCAGCTCAGTCACTAACACCAGAGGCGAGTCACTTTATATATTATTAAGAACCAACTGTATATTCTTAACCGGGGTATTGGGTCGACATTTATAAATGCTATCAGGGCTTAGACTTGACAGTTTGCTCACATTATCTAAGTGGTCGACATTCGTCTGTAATGTTTAGAGACAAACGAGTAAACAGAGAAAAATAAAACATGGGGTTCCTCAGGGTGGTGTCCTTTCCCCGCTACTGTTTAACTTTTACATTTCAAAGCTCCCTCAACCACCAGAGGGAGTCTCGATTGTCTCTTATGCCGACGATTGCTCGATCATGGCGACTGGGAATGGAATTGATGACCTGTGTTCGAAAGTAAACGGATATCTCTCCGAACTTTCTCGCTTCTTCACTGCAAAGTGTCTAGCCCTCTCCCCTACGAAATCCTCCGCGACCCTGTTCACAACCTGGACGAAGGAGGTCAGGCTACCGCTGGGGATTCACGTCGATGACACACCAATTCCGACGGTGAATAACCCCAAAATACTCGGAGTAACATTCGACAGCCTGCTCTCCTTCACTGCGCACGCAACCGCTATTGTCAATAAAGTACATAGCCGCAACAAGGTCCTCAAGTCGCTAGCCGGCAGTACTTGGGGCAAAGACAAAGAAACGTTGCTGGCAACATACAAGGCAATAGGCCGGACGGTTTTGAACTACGCAGCGCCAGTGTGGTCGCCGGGGACTAGTAGGACGCAGTGGACGAAGCTTCAGACGGCACAGAACACCGCACTCAGGACAGCGACGGGATGCCTCCTGATGTCGCCTGAACACCATCTTCACGGCGAGGCGCAAATGCTCCCCGTAAAGGAGCACAATATAATGCTCTGAAAGCAGTTCCTGATCGGGAGCCACAGAAGTGGCCACCCAAACAGACAGCTGCTTGCAGAGGAGCCCTCGCCTAGGCACGTCAGGAGGCATCTATATGAACTGACGGACGAAGTCCAGAGGTTCATCAAGCAACCTCTGGACCCGACTGCTTACCGACAGGCCCTGAACGGCATTCACAGGGAGTCAGTCTCGAGTTATGTAGACTCCAGACCTGTGAATGCCGTTCTAGGCATACCGCCCCCGGACACAGACGAGACGGAGCTTCATCTGCCTCGGGAGACGCGTACA